TCAGACCTACTGGCTTATCCCCTCCTCAGATGGGCAGGGACAGCTACATCGTCCGCAGTGCCAAGTGCAAGCCAGGTCTTCTGTCCAACAAGCAGGAAGAGAGCTTTTCTTTTTTCTCAGTCGCCCCTCTTGTCGTAGTCATGGTGTGTTTGATTCGCCACTTGACGCCATGTTCCTTTGGGTAAAGGGGTTCTCCTGGGTCCAGTGTGAGCCTCCAGAGGTGCCCCCCTTAACCTTTCTGTGCTACTGCCCTTGCCTAGACCCAAACCATATTGCTTCAGGGATATGAGAGCTGGCAGTGAAGAATCAGAGGGAAGCTGACAAGATGGCTCAGAGGGTAAAGGTACCTGCCACCAAGCCTGATGACCTGAGTTCTAATACAGGGATTCACACAAGGAAAGAACTGACTCTTGCATATTTACCCTCTAACTACCACACACATACCATAGCATGTGTGATCACACACACACACAACACAAAATAAACAATGTAATAGGGGAAGAAAGGAATCTGAAGGAGTGAGACTAATGTCACCTGTGGCTCTGGGCTTCATACTTGCTCCATTGTCGGACATCTGGGGATGTTGTTCAGTTGGCAGAGTGTTAGCCTGTTACCCAGGAGACCACTGGTTTGATGCTGCACCACATGAACTGGGTGTGGTGGTGCATAGCTATACTCCTAGCACTTGAGACATTTAAGATGGTTACAGCAGAGCGGGGTCACCTTCTGAAAATGATGATGCATGTATCTGAGGATTTTCTTGGCCACTGTATTCTACTAGCTTCTTCTCATTCCGGCCTTTCTCCACCAGCTGAATCTATTTTCCTGCCTTTCTCACTGCCTAAAGCTCTATTGGTTTCTCTTCTCTCCCTTGCTGAACTGCAAGTTCCCTGAGGACAAGTGTCTTGTCTGTCTCGCTTGCAACTTTATGCCAAGCCTGCACTGAAGATGCCCAGTCAACAGCCATTGAATGATTGCATGAGAAGAATCCAGTCACCTGGTTGGCCTGGTTTCAGTTACATTTCATAAAACTATTGTGGTTTTAGTTTTTCGCAATGTTCATTGTGGCATATTTTTGCTGTATTTGAGCTAAAAAGATTTTCCACATTTCAGGTCTCTTTTGCATCTTTGCCAAGTCCTCACTTTCATTTGTCAAAAGAGAGATTAAAACCTAAAGTACTTATGCAAGAGAGGGACTAATAGCAAAGACGGCCAAACTATGTTGTGTTCACTGGGCGTGGCTGGTCCGGAGCCAGACAAGCCAAGGAGACCCACTCTCTTGTTTGTGGCCTAGTCTGCCTTGCTTTGCCCTCACACTGCAGGCAGGGGTTCAGGTCAGCTCACAACGGCTCATCCTACTGTAATCCACTTAACAATCCCACAGCTCACCACTTCCCTGCTGGAGCATGTGGCCATCTCTCGGGTTCCGAATGGCTCATTCTTGGTTCTAGCTCCCAGCCTTCTTGAGAGCTTTAGGGAAAGCAGATGATCGTTATGTGCCACCACCCTTTCCCCACTTCAGCCAGCTCGTCTCCTAACATCATTTCCTCCCAGAAGGATCCTCTTGTGCTCAGACCTGATTTCATTATCTTATTCACAGCACCCCTCCAGGTTCCACAATTTTAGTGAATTCCTTCGCTGTGTGATGATTTGCTGAATGGCCATCTCTCTTTCCAGGCTAGATGCTCTGGGAGGGAAGGGGAGTCTTAGCTGTGAGCACCTAGCCCACTTCCCACAGGCACCCAGGAACTATGTGATGGGTGATCACACATTCCTAATGCTTAGTAACGGTATTCCACAGAAGTTCATCAGGCGTTTGTTGAATTATATTGGAAAAATATTGCTTTTTAATCTCAACAATTATGACTTGGTTAGAATGAGTTGTTTTTCCTTGTTATCAAAATAAAAGACAGCTTGAATAATTAAGCTATTTTCCAAACACTGGTCTTTCCTAACTGGAAGACATTCAGATATAATAAATGAGCAACTGGAACACAGACAAGGCTCAAGGGGACTTTGCCTCCTCTATTTGTCCCATCTTAGACCCTTCTTTATTTCTAGGCATAGCCAATGGTTTACCATGCAAGCCTATCACCTTAAGATATCTCTTAAAATCATTATGTGCTGACTTTTGGAGCCACTTGGTACTAAAAGTAATTATAGGCAGGCTTCTGAGACCAAAACCTAATTCCTTTGTAGTTTCTCCTAGCAGGCTAAAGACTCTGGGGTAAGGATTCAAATGAGGTCCAAGTTGCAAATTGCATCAAGAGACAGGATAAATCAGTCTTAGTCAAGGCAAAGGAGCTCTTCCTTTTCTCACGGGCAGAATCAATATAGACAAATGGCGAAGCCGGAAACAAATGCTCTGCTCCACTGGCCAGGCGTCATCACGGTTAAGTCTTAGCAGACTATCCACCTTCATTTGATGACTGTTATTTCTGCAGGTCTTTTGTGTTTTAATCTATTGATTCTCTATTTAGCAATAATGGAATGCAGCACTGATAAATAATGCATGCCAACAATATCCAGAACAGAGGCTAATGCCTCCTCAAGGCTTGGGTGGACTCTTGTTTTTGTTTTTTAAAGTAAGCAAGCAGTATTCAGTAGTCACAAAGGCTGAGGGTCCTGTTCTCTGAAGCTAACTGCTGTGGATGCTGCTGTCACTGTTGCCCCTGTGTCCTCTTTCCTACTTTCCTTACCAATCTCATCTCTGTCATGCCTCCCTAGTGTGACATTAATCAAGCAGATCTTGTCAAGTGGCTTTGTGGAAAAGCCACATTCTGCGATATGTAATTTATGGCCTTAATACTGTTAACCATGTGGTGTCCTTTGTATTATTACATCTGATTAGGCAGCAGCCATATAACAAATTTACATGTGCATTTATAGAAGGAATATGTGTATCCACATACATATGTACGAGTGGAACATCTTGTTTCCCTTTGAGTACTAATCCCATCAAATGCAGTTGAGTTCTTCATTGAAGACACATAAGCAGCTTTCCTTTTTTCTTAAGGGCTCATTTAGGTTTCCCTCTACTCAGTATCTGAACCATGGAGGCAGAGCTAAAAGGCTTCAGGACCTTGAAAGGAGTGGCAGTTGGTGATGGGGACATTGCACCTGAGCTCATATCATTCTGTCTCATGAACTGGAAGACTTCAGTACAGATCATTAGCCCTGTGTCCCTGAAGGTGACAGCGGAGCAAGCTCACAAGATCGTAATACAATTTGAACTAAAACAGGATCCTAAATGAAATGTACTGATGTGAAAGGAGGTGACATTCAGCCTGTTTGGGACTCTAGTTCAGGTTTAAGGGCCTCTTCCCTCCAGACTTGGACTGCAGAATATCCTTTGATGACTCCTCAGGGCACCATTCTGTGGGTTCGGAGCACAGTCAGTCCCTCCATGCCTATTCAATCCTTCTAGCACTTTCCAACTTCAACCGCACTTACTCATTTTTACAGTTTCTCTGCTCTTGCCATCCTTTGGTCTCTGGGTAGTAGTAAGCCTCTCACAGTCCTGTCTGTAAGGCCCAGTGCAGTGCCTGGCACACAGGGAATTCGCTGCATGCTTTATTAATGAGCAGCTGAATATTTGGCAGAGTTTCCTTGGAGCTTCAGCCTTCTTTCTTAATTTTTTCCTCATTAAAATAAATCTAACTTTATATTATGGAAACATTTGAAAATATAAAAAATAGATATGATATATACCAACTACTCATGGCAAAGTCTAGCCCATTCACATCTCATCCTTCATCCTACTCACTTTGTTTTAAAGCATACGCGGTCATCGGACGACTTTATTTCTATTTTGGTTTGAAGATTGATTATCTAAAGTTTAAAGACTTAAGCTTTTTTTCATACAAAATAGAATTATAGAATCAAAAATAATTACAATTTTTCTTATTTATCAGAGTGGTATGCGTGTGTGTGTGTGTGTGTGTGTGTGTGTGTACGGTCAGAAGATAACTTCTGTGAGTCAATTTTCTCCTTCCTATGTAGGTTTCAGGAACCAAACTCAGAGCATCAAGTTTGGTGGCAAATGTTTTACCCACTGAAATACCTTGTCAGCCCTGTATAATTACTCAAGAGCATCAACTATGGAGCTCAACTTCATAGTATTACAAATGTCACATGCTTCTTAAACATATTTTTAAACAATTTCATGCATGTGTACAATGTATCTTGACCATATCCATCTCTAACTACCTCTTTCCAGGCCCCAACATGTCCCCTTCTACCTTCATGTATTCTATTTGTTTGTTTGCTTGTTTTTCAAGATAGGGTTGCTCTATGTAGCACTTACTATCCTGTAATTTGATTTACAGACCAGGTTGGTCTTGAACTCACAGAGATTTGCCTGCCTCTGGCGGGATTAAAGGCATGTGCTACCTCCCTTTTTATTTATTTTTATTAATATTCTAAAATATTACGTGTAAATGTTCCTGTGCGGGTATGTGTACAAGAGTGCATATACCTGCAGAGTCTAGAAGAGAGTATTGGATCCTTTGAAGCTGAAGCTACAGATCACTGTGAGCTGCCCTATGTGGGCACTGGGAACTGAACTTAGCTCTTTCATAAGAACAGTCAGTGCTCTTAACCACTGAGTCATCTCTCCAGCCCCCTTCTTTTTGGTTTAACCTACTGAATCCAGTTAATGCTGCCTGCATGCACATGGGTATGGAACCATCCATCTAATGCAAACAACCTACCAGTGGCCACACTTCTGAGAGAAAACAAGCTTCTCTCCTCTAGCAACTATCAACTGTCAATAGCTCTCCAACCAGAGTGGAACCTTATGAGCCTCCCTCATCCGTGCTCATGTGTTCACTGGCTTAATCTTACACAGGTAACATGACTGTTATGAGTTAATGAGTGCAATGCATGTCAGGCCCAGAAAGCAGCATCTCACAGGAATCCTCTTACTCTCTGGCACTTACGATCTGTCCACCCCTCTTTCAGATGCCCTCTGAGCCTTGGGGGTATTGATATAGACGCACCATTTAGGGCTGTGACTCAGCAGTCACTTATTTTCAATACTTTGACCGGTTACAGAGTCTTTTCATTGTCTGCTGTCCACTTCTGAGACAGAGGTTGAGAACAGCACTGATCTATGGGTATAAACATAAATGTTTAGAAGGCAGTTGGACAACATGTGTAGCAAAACAACAGTAGCTGTTCCCTGCTAGGTCCTGTGATCTCCCCATATGTTTTTATAGTTTGAATTAGGATCCAAATATGTAATGTATATGTGTATATATATATGTCTCAAATTATAGATTCCTGACAATTTGTTTTGTTTTTTAATATTTAAAAATAAGTGCTCAAGACTGAATCCAAGACCTTGGCATTCCAAACTCTTGGCTTATTGAGAAAAGGTCTTGTTATGCAACCTCATTATGTACATACCTGTTCTGTATTCACTATGTAACCAAGCTGGCTTCAAGATTTGTGACCCTCCTGCTTCTGCCTCCTGAGTTCTGGAGTTTCTAACCCTTTCTCTTGAGAAAACTGTAGAGCCCCATACAGTAGTGAACGTTTTGCCAAGCAGTCCCTAAGGTCTTTGTCCAGTCTCTTGCAATGCTAATATCATACACAACTACAGAACAATAACACTAGGAAAGTGATCCTGATACAATGCAATCTGCCAACCTTACTCAGATCTCAACAGTTCTGCACACTGAAGTGTGTGTGTGTGTGTGTGTGTGTTACATCCATACATTCTAGTCAGCTGTGCAGATTTGTGTGACACACCACTGTCAAGATACAGGTCAGTTACAACACAAACTCCTTGTGCTATCATTAATAAGCATATCTCCCTAACATATTTTTCTGGTCTCCATCTCTTTGTCATATGTGTTTATTTATTCTTTGACATTTACACACACACACACACATACACGCACGCACACACACATACACACACGCACGCACACACACGGTATATCTTAATCCTATCCACCTACAATTTCCCTGTCCATTCTCCTTCTCTTGACTTGTTGCAAAGCTAGGGATCAAACCCAGAGTCTGTGTGTGCTACACTAGAATCGACAGGTACAGCCCCTAATCTCTATAATTTTGTCACTTCAGAAATACCATATATCCAAGTCTTACAGTAGCTATTGCTTTGAGGTTTGCCTGTTTCTCTCATCATATTTCTCCCAGGAATTATGCAAGTTGTGCGTGTGCTAGTACTTTGTTTCTTTCTGTCACTGAGTACCGTCCCATGGAAAGGACATGCCAGTTTGTGCATCTATTGACTGAAGGAGATCTGGATTGTTTCTAGCTTGGACTACAAAAATAAAACCCAATGGAGAGTCATGAATAGATTTTGAGTAGACATAAGTAAATATTTTTCTCAGACATACATCCAAAAGTGCAGCTGCTGGGTCATTTAATAGGTAAGGGGTTAGTGAGAAGCTGCCGTTTCTTTTCTGAGTGGGGGTACCATTCATATTCCTGTCAGGAATGTAGGAGTACATTTTTCCATTTTTCTGAAGCCTCACCAAAGTTTGGTGTCATTTTTTAAAACTTTAGCAACTTTAATAGGTGTGGAGTAATATCTCATTATAATTCTTTAACATTTTTAAACTGTAAATGTAGGCCATTTTTGTTCTAGTATGAAAGCTGATTGTGGAAAGGAAGACAAAGCTAATGTGCTGGTATCTTAATATATCCTTTGGTATTTTTCTTTAGGCATATCTGTCTATAGTTTATAAAATTAGAGATATAATTTTATAACACATACTTTTCAATAATATACAGAAATATGTCCTATGAAATATTATTTGAAAACATGTTTTAATTTGTGTTGGGTATTGGGAACTGAACTAGAACCTCTACATGCTAAAAGAGTGTTTTACTGTTGGGCTGCATCCCTAGCCCTGAAACATATGTTTTAAAAACTCGCTGTATGTGGAACAACATGCATTTAATCTCAGCATCCAGGAAGCAGAAGTAGACAGATCTCTGTGAGTTCAAGGCCAGCCTAGTCTACAGAGCAAGTTCCTGGACAGCCAGAGTTACCCAGAGAAACCTTGTCTTGAAAAAATTAATCTGTGTATGTGTAGGTGTGTGTGTGTGTGTGTGTGTGTGTGTGTGTGTGTGTGTGTGTGTAGGCATATCAGAGGTCAAGGACAACTTTGGGCATCAATGTCACCTTTTACCTTGTTGAGGCAGGATTTCTTGTTTCTGCCACCTCACTCCAGGCTAACTGGTCCTCAAAGTTCATTCTCTTGTCCCCACCTCCCACCTTGGTGATTCTGTGGGAGTGCAGGGATTACAGATTAGCATATCTGGCATTGTTTGTGTGCTCTAATGCAGATCATCAGGCTTGTGTGGCAAGCACTTCCACACACTTAGCCAATGCCTTGTCGCCAGAATAAATCCTTAGTGAGGAGCTGCTAGCAGTGGATAGTTACAGGGGGAAAGACAATCTTTTCTTTTGGAGGTTGTGGCTACTGGTAGATTTCCCATGCTCCAGTGCATGGCCCTACACACAAGCACATAAGGGCAGTACTAAGTGGACTTTGTGACTCATCAAAACCACAAAATTGAGAGGGGGACCTGTTGGAGAGAATGTTGGGGAAGTTAGAGGGGAAAATAGGGGCCATATAATCATATTTCATTGTATATCTATGAAATTCTCAAAAATAAAGAAAAATTAAAACTAAAATAAAACATCATTCACATACACACATAAAAGAACCTATATGGTATCCCATTATATAGAGCAAAACTTTAGGCTATTCTTCCTTTGGACATTTATGTTATTTTCAATTTTTGACAAGATAAAATATTACTTGAATTGCCTTGCAGTTTAATTTTTTTCTTTTCTTGTATTTCTAGTTATCTGTTCATAATCCATTGTAGAGCATTGCTAGGTCAAAGCACTTTGGGGCTTTTGTTGCCTATAGAAAACAAATCCAAATTATTTTAGAACAATTATATCTGTATTCATTTTATGCTTTTATATTGGTCAAGTTGATTGAGGGAAAACCCTCTTTTAAATTTTCATCTCTTTGGTAAGTGAAATTGAAACATATTCTTAAGATTTATTAGCTATTTGTAGTTCTTCCTTAATTGTTAGTGTTTTCTGGGGTTTCTTTTTGTACATTCATGATGTTGTTATTTGAGCAATTTATGGGGGAGTCGTGTTGTTTTGTTTTGCAGCACTGGTGAACACCACCTTCATATAAGGAACTGGGGACAGACTAGCAGCTGGGAGATGAGGAGGAGGAGCAGACTGTAACCATGGGTTTCTAACGGTCCTTTTTTGGCATATGCCTGCTGTTAGCCTAGACTGAGAACCCTGGGTGGCTGATCAGATCGTCACAGAAGCAATGGGTGGCAGACAGGTGCTTTCTCTGGCAACAGCTGAGAACTCAGGGAGCTAAGCTGTCTCAATCCTCCTTCCATGCTCAAGCATTCTGGAGAAAAGTAGGACATCTGAAGAGTGAGGCACTGCAGAACGTCCTCTGTCTGCCCATGTGCTCCTTCCTGCATCCAGGTGGCTTGAGATCAAAGAGACAAGTGTTCCTCATCCTTCTAATTTCTTTTTCAGTCGAGCTGCAGCAAGTTCACAATTAGTGAAAACAACAACAACAAATAAATAAAACCCAAAGACAAACAAACACCATCAACAAAACCAACCCAAACTTGCCTGGCCATACAGCCAGGATATGTGCAGAGTATAAGAAACACACAGCATTTGTTTCAGTCCTTTTTATATATCTGTCCTCTCCACTCACAGGTGCCAGTGATGGCAGTGTTTGGGATGTAAGTGAAGAACTAACAGCAGCAAACCACATAACCCGGGGACTAGAAGTCAAAGTCCTTTCCTGCCATATTGTTTCAGCCTATTTAAAAATAACTCCAGGATCCACACCAGTCACTGGTCCCACTTTGAAATTTTATTCATTTAAAGTTGTGATTTTATGGTTTTCCAGACATCCAGGTAATTTCAAATCCTTGTGATTTTTTTCATAGCCATGGTCATACAGTGCTAGATTGAATTACAAGCTAAGTGGCATTTACCACCTGCCAGGTGATGCTGACCTATTCTGCACACACATCTGCAGGGAGTCTTTACTCTGTGTTTCTGTCAGCGAAATAGAGGTCATGGGATGACCTGTTACCCTCTCATCTCCGCATCAAGAGTCAACCATCCCAGAAGTCTGTGAGGTCCAATGAAGACTTTCTAATAGAATGTTAGGGAAGAGACCATTACCTAAAACAAAACAAAACAAAACAACAACAACAACAACAAAAAAGCCTTAGGAACTGTTTAGGCTCCTTCATATCAAAGGAGAGATATATGAAAGACAAACGTTCACATATGATGGGGAATGTCCTGCATGCTGTGAATATGTATTTCTCTTATTAGGCGATGAATAAATGCTTATTGTCCAGTAGCCAGGCACGAAGTATAGGCGGGGATACCAGACTAGGAGAATTCTAGGAGGAGAAAGGCAGAGAGGAGCCTCCAGAGAGACGCCATGTAGCTACCGGAAAGATAGGACTCCAGGCATTCTCTGGTAAGACGAGGTCATGTAGAAATACACAGATTAATAGAAACGGGTTAATAATTAAGAGAGAGCTAGCCAGTAAGAAACCAAAGGCATCGGCTAAATTAATATAAACCTCTATGTGTTTATTTGGGTCTAAACGGCTGTGGGACCGACCAGATGGAACAGAAACTCTGTCATCACGCATATATAAGATAAAAATAATTAGATCTTTAAAATCATAGTCTAAGGAGGTAAACTTGGCTAAAAAATAAGACTTCCTTCCCTGGAGCACTGCATCACAGTAGGAATCAGCACTTTTGATTTCCAAGGAAAATACAGACTAGATAAGATGATCCCAAACAGTTCTCAACTGAAAACAGTAGTAACTCAGTGTGTTGGTATGTCAAAGGTTTGTGAGAAATAGAATCTGGATTGAAGAAAGAGGAGAAATGGGATGAAATATGTTACTAAGAAATAAGGGAAGAGTCATTTCTCACCAATTATTTCATAGCATCTCCTCACGGGCCTGTGAGGTGGGAGTGATTCTCATTCAGAGGAAGAAACAAAGGTCCTAGAGGTTCTATGACTTGAATAGAGATCGGATTCGTGGACTAGTTCTAACCATTATTGTCTCTTTCCATTATCCTCCTACAGCTGTGTAGGACTACCACACACAGCTGTAAGATCTAGAGGAGGGTTCATATGTTATTATTCTCTGTATCCTTTCCTCTCTCCCTCCTTCATCGTAGCCAGATCATCCTGGCTTGGAGAAGGGATGCTCTGAACACGTGAATGTGCATACTTCCTTTTGATTCCTTTCAACAACAATTTAAAAATCTCAAAAAGAGCTAAAATGACATCACCCGCAGTACCCGAGTAGCATCAGGGAACATTCCCTGTCAATGCTAAATCACCTTCATTTGCCCTATGCTATTTTGGGAACAATATGATTTGCTAAATCTTAACTTTAACCTATATTTCTTAAGAGGACTTTTAACTCAGGATATTTATAATCTTCTTTGCATCTTCAAAGCACTTTGCAGTATTAACTAATTAAACCTCAGCAACACCTTTGATTAACTCCTTTTTATAGATGTGGGAAAGAGGCATGGAAGAAATGCCCTTGGCCATGATAGAATCAGCATTCCAAGATAGGATTGGAGCCTGAAAGTTCCTGTCGCCATCTCTCATAAACCACAATCAGTCTCCTGCCTTGATGTCTTGGTAGATGGACAGGATTGTTCCTTGTATCGATAGACCTGTCTCAGGAGTATCTGTCACCTCTCCCATGTTCTTCATTATTCATCTGTATGTCCTTATGACATAACTTTATTCACCTCAGAAAGCAAGTGTTTCTGGGGAGGGTGAACAAAATACCAAGATCTCACGTTTCCACTTAGATCCTTTGCAACTCCCCTTGGAGTCTATTCTTAGACAAACTGTCCGTTCAGGAATCCAAGGTAAGCCAGATGTATCTGGCAACATCCCCAAAGATTTCTCGTTTCCATATGTCCAGACAGAGAGTTAAGCAGCAATTCAAAGATAGAGAGGGGTCAGCAACAATCATTTTCATGGCTATCAGGCAAAAAACCCACCGCCAGTGTTGTCTCCAACACAATTTTCCAATTGTTTTGAATGCTGGAGGAATCACTTGGAATGTATGATTTATGGGCAGCTATCCCAGCTGGGTGAAATTCTTGCTGACAGATATCAGACTGTTATTAGCATCCTCTGTTCTAAATTAAAGGAGAAGCTGTATCTTGAAATATATCCTGGAGTCTTAGAGGATGGTGGAGACCGGGTGGGGCACCAGAGTGCCAGCACTATAAACATTAGGGGAGAGACAGCATCATCTTTAAAGACCTCCTTCTCTAAGAATGTATTATTCTTTGATGAGCTTGATAGCTTTGGTGTATTTGAAGGTAGGATTATCATTGAGACAAATAAAGACCTTATGTCAAAGCCTATCCTTGAGATTTGGTGGTGCTCAGAGGTTGCATAAGTGACACTTCCTTGACCCCAAATCCAAACCAGACTCAGCAGGTTCAGTAGCATAGGAGATTTGGCCTAGAAAACCTCAATTTGAGTTACTTCTGTTTATCTGACCAATTAACCTTGCTGAGCTATGCTTCCTCAGTTGGAAATATAGTGGTAATACTTGCCTTATGTAATTGTTGGGAAAATAAAAAAGAATTTTCTGCACTCTAGAAAATTATTTATCTTAACCAATTTTGGTTATTAATGGTAATGGCCAATGTTTATTGTGTCCTTACCACATGCCAGACTCTGTGTGAGGATACTTTTGTGCACATACTCTCATTCATCACCCCGACAACCCGATAAGGACAATTATGTCCCTCTTCCAAATGATGAAACTGAGGTCTAAAATCATCCATTAAATTGTTGATTCAGCCACACTATATTGTCTTTTTTTCCACTTTCAAATCTTTATTGTTTTAAAATTATACAGGTCTTTTACAATATAGCACTTTGTAATTTAAATGACTTCTAAATGTTAATGTACAATGGATATCTTTTTCTGAAACTCAATCATGAATTCCAACTTCATCAGTGTGGTTTTTCTACACAGTCCTGAGATGCTGGGGAAATCGAGTCCTACACCACAGTGCTGTCTTTAATCTCCAATTGCCCACTAGACATTTCTATTCTGCTTTCCTGTAGTTCCTCCAACTGTTCTGACTCTCGAGTAAAATCCATTCTCTCTTCCATTAGCTTTCCTATTTGCTCAAATTGCCATTTTTCTCTCTGAATTGAAACTTCTAAGTCAACTGTTTCTTTTCCTTTCTGACTGAAGAGTCCTTCTGACTGTCCAATGCCATCCTTGGCCTTTCCTCCTCTTCCCTTGTAATTCCTTTGTCAATACTGTGGATGAGACTTCATCTCCTCAAGCATTTCCTCATGTCCCAAAGCTTCCCAATTTGTTTTTGTACCTTTGATCAATTTGCTACCATTTGCTAATTGATCCTGAAATACCATTTCAGCAAGTTACTTCCTTTGTCAAAAATGTTTAGTTATTTATGGGACAAAACCCATGTTCCAACTCTTGGTTCCACCCCACCATCCTGCCCTGTATCAGCCCTATACGTGTCCTATGCTTTTCTGCCTTTGGGCTTTAGCTTGTGTAGTAAGTCTCTTTTCCTTTATGTCCTTCCTTCATTCCTCTATTTAGTGAATAAAAATTCTCCAAGATCCATGCCAGTTCCTCCTGCCTTGACTTTCTAAAATAGTGTGTCTGTCCTCTTAAATCCATAAGATTGGAACTTACACCAATCTCTGCTTATTACTCCACTTAACTTGTTTTTTGTTTTTTTTTTTTCAGCCAAAGGTGCCGTTTATTAACACCTCCATCACTAGTTCAGTCCCTGTTGTTCATGGTCTTGTGGATCCAGTCACTGCAGCAGCAGATGTTGGTGTAGACACTGGGTTTTTCAGGTTTTCCACAGGGGTCTGAGCCCCAGGATGTGATGCCTTGGAGTACTCCACTGCACACCAGAGGACCTCCTGAGTCACCCTGGCAAGTGTCAGTCCCATTGCTGCTGCCGCACAGACCATACCCTCAGTTACCTTCTCTGGGTAGGCCTTCTCACACTTGTTCTGGGAAAAGATTTCCACTTCAGCACAGTTGAGGGTGTCTGGAAAGTTCTCTTGAGGACTGGTGACAGTGCCCCAGCCGGATATGGTGTAGTTCTGGCCAACTTTGGGACACTCATCGGTCAGTTTGATGGACTTCACTTTGTCCCCAAGGTTTGCTGAATGGTGCATTCGATTGAGCATGACGTCATGACTGTGATCCTTAGGGTTGCTACTTTTGTAACAAGGATGCTGGATAGACTGAGCCACCTAGATCTCCTGTTCTGGCCTATCTCTACTCTGCAGGCTGTGATCATCCAGGTGCACTGAGTACTTCCAGGACACCCCTACAGACGAGTCTCGCCCTGGAACAAGGCTGTCTGCCAAGGCTGGGAGTGAGGTTTGCACTCCTGGCCCTCCAGGACCTTGGACCCCTGAGCTCTGGTGAGCCCTGCCCACGTTCCCATCCTCCACTTAACTTGTTAATTCATCAAAATTATATATTATCTCATCTTACCTTTCTGGCAGGAGAGGTGGATAGGAAATGGGCCTTATATTTCTTTCTCTCCACTACAACTCTTCATATCTACTGTGAAGCCAAGAACTGTGCTTCATTCTGGGAACAGTCAGATGACCAAGGTATGTTAATGAGCTCATAGACTAATAGTATAGGTCACTATGCAAACAAATCATCACAATTGGATAATAAACAAGCCGGTAAAGCTATGCCTGGAGGATTCTGGGACTGCAGAGTAACAACCTAGAACAGGAAAGGTCTCATAAAGTGTACCTTGAACAGATTCTTAGAAGACACATTGAAAATAGTTCTCTGGACAGAGAAGGCAGAGGTGGATTTGGGGAACAGAGAACACCTTGTCCAAAGGCACAATAGTCATGTGAGAGTCCAGGGTTGGGAAAGCAACACATTTGGCCAAGAACCAGAAAAACAGGCTGGATAGATAGGCAGAGTTAAGTTTCCAAAGACTTGGTCATGCAAAATAGATCCTACAAGGCAGGTATGAACCAACAAGTGTGGTGGCAGGAAGGGGAGTTATAAGTAGGCAGTGACTTGATCTGGGTTTAGATTTTAGAAATTTAACTTTGGGGGCTGGAGAGATAACTTGGCAATTAAGAGAGCTTGCTGCTCTTACAGAGGATTGGAGTTTAGATCTAAGAACACAAGTCAGGTGGCCCACAACTGCCTATAATTCTAACTCCAGAGGATCTGATCCCCTCGTCTGACCTCTGTGGACATCTGCATGGATGTGTGCATACACACAGAGGCACATATACACATAAAAATAAAAGAAGAAAAAGAGGAGGAGGAGAAAGAAGAAGAAGGAGGAGGAGGAAGAAGGAGGAGGAGAAGAGGAAGAGGAAGAGGAAGAAGAGAAGAAGAAGAAGAAGAAGAAGAAGAAGAAGAAGAAGAAGAAGAAGAAGAAGAAGAAGAAGAAGAAGAAGAAGAAGAAGAAGGTTAACTCTGATCTGACATTATCATGTAAACATATAGTGAACAAATAGTGTTTGGATACCCTTGAGGGAGAGGTGACAAGAGATTGATGGTGTGGACAAAAGTTAAGATAATGGGAACAAACCAGGCAGTGGTGACACACTCCTTTAAACCCAGTACTCAGGGAAGCAGAGGCAGGCAGATCTCTATGAGCCTGAGGCCGTCCTGGTCTACAAATTGAGTTCCAGGACAGCCAGGGCTACACAGAGAAGCCATATATCAAAAAACCAACCCCCCACACACATATAATGGGAATAGAGAGAGTTGCTGTCTTCGGTATGTTAAGAAGGAGAATAGATGCTTAGATGTGGCACACAGCTGGATATGGTGAATGAGGATGAGGACAAAGGATCAGTTTCATTATTGTTGTTGTTATTATTATTATTATTATTATTATTATTATTATTGCAGTTCTGGGATGGAGTCCAAGGCATGCCATGTAGATGGCCCACTAGTGAGCCACACCCAATCCTTAGGACTAGTCTCTATGTTGGGAGACTGCTTTAAGAGAAACCCTCTTTACTAAGGTAGAGAACATAGTTGTGAAAGGTCATTACTGCTACTGTTGTCATTTCTTTTGAGTGGAGTGAGGAATGAGATTAGTCACAGAGGTGATGACTAACAAACACTGATAAAGAAATGTTATAAAGTAAGTAAATACTTCTCTTGGGCCTATCTAGGTGCCTGGTACATAGTGGGTACTTAGTAAATGTTTGTGGAGGAAGAAGATGATCATTCTGGCTAAGTCTGCAAATAATACATTAACTACTTAGAGTCTTACATAAAAACCATTTCCCACTTTTTGTAATGAATACACCACACGCTGGGGCTTCTAGTGATATGAAACTGTACAAGAGACACACTGAGGTCTGTCAGGTGGGTTGGTGCTCTGACTGGCTGACAGGCACTCTCATCAGGAGCAGGATGAATAGGGAGCTTAAGACTGAGCCCTGATGTGACATTGATGTATGGCTGCATAAACTGTGCACATGCTCCCTGGGTTTCTCTCAAAGACGCTGAAGACAATGGATTCCAAGGCCCTGTAAGTGTTGACGCCACATGAGTAGTTTTAATGAGGTATGGCCATTTTATTCATTTGGGTTTCTTTTTATCTATATGAGAAATCATAACCTGGGATGTGTAATCCTTTCCTAACCTCTTATAAACAGCTTTTCAATTAATCCCAGGAGGAAAGGGTACAGACAGGAGAAGAAAGAGATGGAAGGAAAAGAACTCAACAGGAGACTTAAGAAAATGATGATTCACCCAGCAGATTCTTGCTCTTTCAGTTTCCCTTGGCATAAATGAGTGATGTCCTGGGATGTGGAATTTTAAACATTAGTGGACATGTTTCAGTAGTTTGGTACAAAGCCATTAATTTCTTTGGCATTTTCAGTACTGCATTGCTGTTAAGTGTTCCCAGTATGTTCAAGTTAATAGAAAATTTGCAAGCCAAGGATATTTTATGCCTGCATAACTCTAGTTAAAAGCAGCATTGGGCAGTATTTAGAAAAGGTATAGACTATGTTTACACAGGTCCAACGCTTCAAAGATGATAATGCTCTTTCTCACTGTAATTGTTTTTCCTGCTCCTAGACTCCAGTCTCTATAGTGATATCCCACTCAAGGGTCTATTTCTACATGTGATGGAAATGGCACACAATGAAATTGTATACATTGCCTTCTATGATCATGCCGAAAGCAAAGGAAATCACATGCTTAAAGTACAGTGGGCACTCAATACATTTCACCATAATGACAATGATCAGGAGAGGCAATTTGTCTGGTGCAATATTACAAAGGGCCCCTCCTCTTCTCCTCCTAAAATCAGAATTGCAGGCTGCAGATAGCTGTACTCTTCTAGCAGAATCTCCCCATTTTTACAGATGCAGAATCCATTAAGGGAATACCCCTAGTGCTCTCTTGATAGCAAGTGACAGAAAGCAATTGACTTAAGCAAAAAGGGAATTTGTTGGTCTATGGAAACAAAACATCCAAGAGATAAGTGTAGTTTCAGATGAGGCTGGATTCAGAGCTCAAATTCCACCTTACATGGCTGTCTTCCACCACTCTCCTGGCTTCCATCCCAGAATCTTAAGTGCACAAAGTACAACGTGGCGCCCGAGCCGCCTTCTGTTAGAGCAGAAGTGCCTCCTTCAGTCCCAAAAGTTTTACAGCATTCCACTGGCTCTAGTAGAGTCATGTGACCATCTTTAGTGGGTGCCAGTGGCTTAAGGTGGCTTAATGATGGTTACATGCCCACCACAGGACCCATCCAAGCAACACGGTATGGAGAGAGGAGGGTTGTTGCCATAAGAATGAAGAATAAATCTTGGAAATCCATAGTGGATTTTTAAATAACCTTATTCTTGATGGGGAGTCTTCCTCTAGCCAAGAAGTCCCCAATGGGGGAGATTAGTTTGTGATTGTTTGAGGAAGCAGAATGAAGGCATTTGTGTCTCCCCTTCTTCTTTCTTTTATTCGTTTTGTCATCACCAGCATCGGTCCAAATCCTTGCAGTGTCTCCCCTCCAGAACAAAATATTTAACAAATACTTCTTCCAGATCTCTGTGATGAATGTTAATTGGAATGTGGGCTTCCTCATTGAATACTGAAAATTTCTCTATGTCCCTCATGTATTATACTGGTAATTTTGGTGTCCTTAATTTATGAACTTGACCCCCTTCCCAGGAGCTTGCATTGTTTGTTTCTTTGGAGAAGTTAACTATTCATAGTTATTTGCTGCCTGGATGTTGGGCCAGAACCACTGAGAATTGGAGTCTCTCTGCCTTGAATGTGTCTATTCTTCTTGTTTCTTATTATTTTTTTAAGTTCTTCAGAGTCTTTCAAAGTTAATTCCCTACCTCTTCCTTTTGATAAGTATAAGTTAGCAGCCATCTTCCTTAACTGTGTCTCTAGAATTTACTCAGCAACTTAGCTACATCCATTCACCAAGTAAAAATCTGCATTCTTCAAGAAATACTGAACATGCCTGTGTGATTGTGTATGCTATGTGTCAAGACAAGGGATTGGGACTGTGATATGCAGAATCATGTCAGGAAGTTATTCCTGGGAGCATGGCATGTCCTTGCTGCCAGCTAATTTTTCTCCTGTCATTTAGAGTCTCACTTCGTTTAGCTAATGGTTCTACTATACTTTTCAAAAAAATTCACAGGTAGTGCTTCTATTGTGGATTATACAAAATCAACTAAGTGGAAAAAAAAATGTGCTCTCTCTCTCTGGACTTTCCACAAATGAATCTCCATGTTTTATCATGCAACAAAAGCCTCTCCTAGAAACATAGACAAGAGAACAAAAAGAACTACCCCTGTATCTATAAATTTTAAGTTTGTCAGTTATCTGCTTTGACAAACCTCTCAAACATTTAGTAGCTAAAAAGAACAACGGTTTTATCAGTTCACTATTCTGCAGGTCAGCGGTGAGGGCTGGACTCAGCTGGGCATTTTGGGCCTGGTTTCATCAGAGCCCATTCATGTGGCTGCAAGCATCTGGCAACTCCAGTGGGGCTGGAAGCCCACAATAGCTTTGCTCACATGGATTGGGGGTGGAGATGGTGCTGGATGGTGTCTAGGTCATCATCTCCAGCAAGTTGGCATGTGTTTCTTTACCTAGTGCCAGAAAGTTCTTAGCAACAAAAATGAGTCAAACTCAATTGGCAAGTCTGCTTCCAGCCTCTGCTTCTGTCAAATTTGATAATGATCCCATCAGCCAACTCAAGTGGCCAAGTACAGAGTCACTGTGGGAGGGAACTGCCCAGATATGTGGGGGTGGGAGGTGAGATCTATTGGGGACCAATACTGTAAGAAACGTCCGCGTATATTAATTAAACAGCAACATCATTTCTTTTCTGAAAGGGGAGATTTGCCTGGGAAGATTTAAGGGCAAACCCATTACCAGGAAGAATATCTGTCAGAGCTTTGTAGACTCAGAACAGAAACGTAACCTTTTTATAGACTTATTAGTGCCGAAATAACACTGTCTATGTGTTGAGGTATTACCCCAATTATAAAATCAAACCCACTGCAAAAATGGGAGCCTACAGTCACAGGAGCAGGCTGCTTTGGTGTGCACACTAGGGCAACTGTGGATAACAGCAATGCACTGTGCATTTCAAAGTGCTGGAAGAGAAGGTGTTGGATGTTTTCACCATGAATGCTAAGTGCGGGGATAGAAGTGTTTACCCTCATTTAAGCATCACACGATTTAGACATGTCTCAAGATGTTGTGTGGCCAAATGTCCTGCATATGCACATAAATAAATATGCACAATTTAAGTTTTTATGTGTCAGTTAAGACACAATGACATTAAAAAATGGAAGCTAGCACCTA